CTCAGGACCCTGGGATGCTCTGGACAGTGTCTCCCCACTCCGGGTGCGTTGGATGCTGGGTGGGGGAAGGGAAGGACAATATTGTTACCAAAGTCCCTTGAGAGCTAGGACCACAGGGAAGGGTTGGATTTAAAGAGGCTGCAGTTTTGCCACAGCCAGAAACACAGCCTAAAGCTAGGGAGGAGCGAGGAAGAAATACTTCCATTTCTCTCCCACTCCATCTTCTACCAGTGCCTCCCATTGGCCTAATGTGGCTGGAAGTCGCTGGCAAGTGAGCTGAGTTGATGCGGACCAAAGGACTGGCCTCCCACCTACAGGGCAGGACAGAGAATGGATCTGGGGATCTGGGGTTAAATTAAGCTGGGCCAGCACGTTCATATACACTTAGTATTATTCCAGGGGTCTAACATAGCACCTAACTTCTTTACATCTTTACATCTAAATGTCATCTCCTCAAGGAGGCCTCCTTGACCAGCTTACCCAAAACAGACCCCTTATGTCAGACACTATTGGTTGTAATTCCAACATCCGTTCTCCCTTGCATCCTGTTCCTTGCTAAGCAGAACCTTAATTTTGATTTGTTAGTGTGTTAGGCAGTCATGTGGTTGAGAAGTCAGCCTCCCCAGTCCCAGAGGTTGACTCTTGGCTCATCAGATTCCAACACGGCTATTCCATTCCTTTGCCAATGACTGGTTTATGGCACATGATACAATTCTGCCGAGTAACACATAGAGGGGTGTCTGATTGGGTGCTTCTGGGAAACTTTGCCTCACTCTTATTAAGGGGCCCAAAAATATGACATGCCCTTTCCCTGCCTCCTGGCCTTTGGTTACTGCTGTGTGAGAACATTAAGCCTGGACCTTCTACAGTCATCTTGTGACCTTGTGGGGGCAAGCATGAGGACAAAAGTCAACATCTGAAGATGGCAAAGCTGAAAGATGGATATATTCTGCATCTCTGATGGCCTTGTGAGCCACTAAATTAACCAGCCCCAGGACTTGTTATTTGATATATAAAGATATGTCTCTTTATTGTTCAAGTCATTTGAGTCCATATTTCTATTACCTGCAGTCAAAACCTTCCTTACTGCTTCACCGTCTTCCTATTGCCAATTTTTTTCCTTTATGAAGTTTGTCAATATTTCATATCATTTATTCCTTTGTGTACTTGTCTTTTGTCTGCATATACCACCCTCCTGTCATCCCAGGATGTAAACTCCATGAGGACAGGGGCCTTCTCTGTCTTCTTCATCACTGTATCCCCAGTGTCTAGCATGACACAAGAGGCCTCCAATGTATATGTGTTAAATGAATGAAGAAAAAAAGATGTTCGTCTATAATTATTTGCTATAATTACCACCCCTCCCACGTTGGCTCTGAGCCTGGAAGTAGAATCAACCTTTGTTTAGATATTACATACAGATCACACATTCCCACACTTTGGAAAAGCACAGGCTATGAGATTAGCCATACCTGCCATTTATCAGCTGTGTGACTGTGAGCAAGTTACTTGACTTCTCTGAATCTCCATTTCTTCATTTCAAAAATGGTAATATGAAAATAGGATTAAATAAGATTATGCATTTATGAAACAACTGGTCCACAGTCAGTGTTCAAGATGTATTTGTTCTCATCTCCAATCTGCACACCTGGCTGGAGGGGAAAATGGTCTGTGTAGCAACAGATTGGGCCCCTCCTGAAGCTGGTGCACCAGCGATGCTCTGCCCCTAATCTTTGCCTCAGCACAATTAACTTCTTCCTAGATACCCTCTTCGGTATCCTCATCCTTCATCCTCACCATCTCTCCGACTACAACGAGCCCAGGTCCACAGGATGCCCTCATGTCACGTGAGCTTTCCTGCTGCTTTTGCTTCCCAGGACACAACACGGGCAAGTGGAAAGAACATAAGGTCTTAGACCTAGAAGACGTGTGTTCCCATCCAGTCTGGCTCTGATGACATGAGTGACCACGAGCAAGCCACTTAACCTCTGAACCTCAACTTCCTTATCTGTAGCGGGATAATAGGTTGTAATGATGCTCAAGTGGGATGCTGTAGGCACACAGACTTGAAAATTATAATACATATAAAACTGGTTTCTTTTCATGTTTTCAACATTCCTGCTAGTGAGGTTGGAATAGAAGCAGACATACTAAGGCTATTCTTGACACATTCCAGAGCATCCTGCCTTGTGTTTCCTGGCCACAGTCTTCCTAACCAGCCACTTCAACACCCTTCATTATTCATTCATTCAGCAAATACTTGTTGAGTGTCCACCGTGTGCCAAGCACTGTTGTATGTTCTGGGAATAGAACAATGAAGACAACAGACTAAACATTCAGGTCTCACAGGGCTTGCATTCTGGTAGGCAGAGGAAAAGACTGTGGGCAGTTAGGGCAAACTCTTATACAACCTGAATAGTGCTGCCATGCACGTCTCTGGTCATTTGATTGTACCAAGTGGGGACAAAGAAAGCAGACAGGGAGGAGAGGAATGCAAGAAAAAGAAGTTGAAAGAATCCAATCATACTAAAATCCAGAAATGGCCTTGGTTTCATTAAAATTAAGTGTCCATACACCAGTTAGGTAGTATCTCAGCTAAGAATGCAAAATCTGAATCTAATCATGAGGAAACATCAGACGGATCCCAGATGAGAAACACTCTTTTTTTTCCCCTCCTGTTTTAATGTGATAAAAGACAAAGAAGGTTGAGGTCAAATTAAAGAAGACTAAAGAGATATGAAAAATTAAAATGGTACCTAATTCTAGACTGCATCCTGTATTTGGCAGGGGGAGATTGCTATAAAGTTCATTATTAGGTCAAGGGAAAAAATGGAGGGCAGAAGGTAGATTAAATTTATACAGATTGTATAACAGGATGTCCTTATTCTTAGAAAATACAAAGAGAGAAAAGGGAAAGAGGGAGGGAGAGAAGGAAGGAGCAATTGATAAGCTGCAAAAATTCATAAGCAGAAACCTCATTTAAAATTGAGTTGGGAGGCCAGTAGGGCGAAGTTTTCACACCCTACCAACAGGTAGAGATCCAACAGGAAGAGATACCTTGGTATCTCCAAAGGAAGGCTACTAGGTTACTATCCAGCAGGAGGGAGAAAAAATTTCTCCTTGCCTGAATTTCTCCTTGCCCAGCAACAACCCAGCCAATAAGAGGCTGTCACAACTCAGCCAATGAAGAGCCACTACACTTCTAACTCCCAGTTTCCTCCAAGTCTTTGTTTATAACAGCCCCTCCCAACTCCCCCTTCTCCGCTATAAAGGAAAGGTCCTCTCCTTTGTTTGCAAACTTGTCTCTGGGTTGCCATAGTTTGCATGTTCAGAGTCTGAATTCTTTGCTGTTCTCAAATGAACCCAATTTGCTGGTAAGATAACTGGCTGTTTTATTGTTTTAGATCAACAAAGCAAATAGAACAAATTGTTAGCAACAGATGAATTTGAGTAAAGATTACACTGGTTTTTTGTGCTATTCTTGCAACTTCTCCAAATAAGTCTTTAAAAAACTCTTTTTTCCCACGGGACCCACACTCTAAGACCAGCCCCTTTGCTAAATTAGTGCATGACCCTGAATGAATCCCTTCCTCTCTCTCGGTCCCATTTTCTAGTCCAGAGGGTTTCTAAGGTTCTTTCTGGCTCTAGCAATCAATGTCCCACAACACAGGTCGCTTCTGGACAGGGCTTTTGGAAAGAAGACAGCCCCTCCGTCTCTTAGCCCACAAGTTACTTCACCACTACTTTCTCCAGGGTGCTCACCCGTCCTCTTTCATAGGCCATAAACTTGCCCCTGCCCAACCCTGCCACCAACCCGCAGGCCCAGCCCCTCTTTCTGAGTGCCTTAGGGCCCATCTTCTGGCAGGCTGTAGCAAGGATTCAGGACAGGCATGTGCATTAATCCCCCAAGAAACTCCAACCCCCAAAAGGCTTTGGGACAATTTCTGGGCATTTAGTACCACCAAAGAGAAAAGGCTTTTCAGCGTGGGCCTGCTGCTGCATGGCTTTTTGGGAATTGTAGTTCATCGTTGAAGAGTCGGGAACTAGGCTAAGGGGACAAGCCACCCTTCCCAGAATGCACAGCGCTCGCCCCCACCAATCCAAAGTGCGGATCTTGGAAGGAGGGCGGGGAAGAGGAGGAGCTGCCCGGCGCACGCGCAGTATGTGTGGCTGGGGAATTCTTGTGGAGGTCAGAGTGGAAGCCAGTGAGAATGGAGCGGGGAGCTCGCGGCCCACGTCCTGGCGTCTCTTGCAGACCCGGTCTGCACTCCCATTCGCATGAAGTTTGGGCGGGCGGGGTGCATGCGTGGGTGCACCTCGGGCCGGAAGGGTAGGGAGTGAGCCCAGGAGGAGCCAGGGGTTGCGTAGAGTAAGGTAGGTATATATGGGGACAGGGTGAGGAATAATCCAGAAGCTGTGTAAAAAAAGGAAAGGCTGATGGGGACTGGGTGTTCTGGTCTCCGGAAAGAAATATTTAAGTGCAGGGGGAGAGATCAAGGTAGCCTGAGAAGTTGCGGTCTGGGGAGGAGGGGCGGGGAGACTGAAGTGGACGCAGACGACGGGGTGGGGCAAGACAAAGTGCGGGGGTAGATTCTAGCGAGGTCAGCAGTACTCCCGCCCGCCCACCCCCGCTCCAGGGCTCTCCCTCGCGGTGCAGCTATTGAGAATCTTCTCGCCCATTTGTTCTTTTTTTTTTTAATGGTTAAATGTGTAAACTTTACCTTTTAAAATTTTTCTTCTTAATTGAAGTATAGTCAGTTTACAAGATTATGTTAGTTTCTGGTGTACGGCATGTTTCAGTTATACATATATATAATTCCTTTTATTATTCTTTCACTAGCTCCCTGTGCTATACAGTAGGACTTTGTTGTTTATTTTATATTTAGTCGTGTGTATCTGCAAATCCTGAACTCCCCCAATTTATCCCCCTACACGCACCCCGCCCCCCTTTCCTGGTAACCATAAGTTTGTTTTCCATGTCTGTGAGTTGCCCGATTCTTTCTTGGTATGATAGCCCCAGAATGTCATCCAGCTCCTGCTTCCATGATAATAGGTCGTTCTTATACCTGATGTGAGAAGCAGTGTGGTGAGGAGTTGAGCTGTGCCTTCCAGAATTTGACCCCCAGGTTCTAATCCTGGTTGCTCACTCAGCTGTGTGATCTTATGTTCCTCAGGTTACCACTCTGTGTGCCTCAGTTTCCTCACCTGCAGTGATCTTCATAAGGGTTGGTGTGAGGATTAAATACACAAATTGCTGTTGGAAGACTGCCAGAAATAAAAGTTAGCTATTTTGCTGTTGGAGTCACATTGTTTTCTGAACCAAAATCACCCAGAGCTAACTACACAGCTTCTCCCAGGGCCTACCTGTCCAGGAGGTGGGAAGGTGGTTTGGTTTGGTGCTAAGGTCTCTCTGGGTATCAAGTCCATGCCTCCTTCCCCTTTTGAACTAAGTGCCCCAGACCCCTTTTCTTAAATGGTAGAAAAAGAAGAAAGCAGAGGAATTGATAATACACGTTTACAGGCTGCAGAGTGTTATTTATGAAATGTCCTTCAGTGGATGATTCAGAGCCCTCAAGAGTGGGGGAAGAAATAGCCAGCAGAGAGAGAGGGCTTTCTCTGAGGACTTGGGGATCAAGTTGCTTTGTTTGTTTTTCCCCCCTTAGGTGTGAGTGGGTCCAGTAGGAGACATGGCTGCCAAAGTGTTTGAGTCCATCGGCAAGTTCGGCCTGGCCTTAGCCGTTGCAGGAGGCGTGGTGAACTCTGCCTTGTATAATGGTAAGGTCACTGCCCTTTGCCAGGCGATTTGTATTGGTCTGCAGAGCCCATGTGACACTCCTGTTGGCAGCCGCTGTTTGTGAATATGTTTGTGACCAAGAGGGCTCACCTACTGCCCTCCTGCGCCATGTGGCTGCCTGGTCATCAGAGCCTCTGTCCTTGTAGCCATA